TCTGGCCATGCCCTTATCACGACGGAATGTCGAAGATCGACTAATCTGGCATGCTACTGTGGATGGTCTCTTCTCTGTTAAGTCGGCTTATCACTTAGCAGTTCGTCTAGATAAGCTGAATGGGCGGTGGCGGGCGCAGGTTAGTTGGATGGACAAATCTAGTTGGATCCGTCTCTGGGATGCCAACATTCCTCCGAAACTGAAGATATTTGCTTGGCAACTTTTTACCAGAATTCTGCCGACTACTGAGGCCCTAATTGAGCGGGAAGTTGAAGTCCTTCCCCGGTGTCCTGTGTGTTGGGCTCCATCGGAAACGATGGAGCACCTGTTCCTTGATTGCCCAGTGGCCAGGGCCTTGTGGACTTTGTCTGGTCTCGATCATCTTGGTGAAGGATTGCCTCGGCATACTTTCCCTCTGTTCCTGAAGAAGTTGCTGGCTATCTTGCAGCACCCCTCGCAGTTCATGGGAGTAATTGCTATCCTGTGGAGGATTTGGCGGTCCCGGAATTGGGTGGTCTTTGTAGGGAAGCAGTTTAGTATCCTTGCTCTGATGAGGCAGTATCACCAACAGGTAGGGGAATGGTTGAGCTTACCTAATGATCCCCGGCATCCCTTGCTGACTCCTCCTAGCACTAGTGCAGTGGGTTTAGTTGCGGAAGGGGGACCTGTCTGTCGTTGGGATGGAGCATCCCGTTTAGGGTCGCACTCTGCGGGAGGTTTTGTGCTCCTTACTGAGGCAGGGGACATCCTTTGGGCTGCTGGTGTTCAGTTCCCTCTGTTGGAAGACCCAATGGTGGCGGAAGTACTTACCCTCCGTGAAGCAACCCGTTGGTGTATAATGCAGGGCTTTGAGTCAATGAGATTTGAAGGGGACGCCAAGGTGGTCATTGAGAAGCTTTGCCAGGGTGATGTGCGCGATAGTCGGGTTGGGGCTATTTTGGAGGAGATTCTTCAGCTTTTTACGATTCATCCGGACTTCACTGTACGATTTGTAGGTCGGGGTAGCAATAGGGTAGCTCACATTGTAGCTAGACAGGCCCTGTCTTTGTTCCCGACTACGTGTCGTTATTTTGACTTTCAGGCCTGGCTGAACTCCAGGATGTAATTATCGATTTGTTTCTATCAATACAAGATATCTTTTGTAAAAAAAAAAGGATATCATTTTGAAGAGCACAATTAATCTAATCTACCTGACAAAAAAATTAAATTTCGACTTAAAACAAGTGAGAAATCGTCCGTTAAAAGATTAAGGGGGGAAAATTAAAGTCTTTTCAAGAGAGAGAAGGGACGCTGATGTGGTGGATTTTGATTGGGTTATGCACAGTTATTCACCACAGGGTTATTGACAGGATCCGCTCCCGATAATAAGACCACAATTCATTCTATTACAAATTCAAGCATTAGTAACTTTGCACCACAATTCACCAAGGGGGAAAAACCACACGGTTTGCCGTTCGCCATTACTGAGAACTTCGTTGAGGAAATCAACTCTCTTATCCAACCTATCCATTGCGGGCAAAACCCTAGCTTATCGAAGATAGCAAGTAAAAAAGGCCATTCGACTCTATCATAGGCCTTTTCCATGTCAACCTTGAGAGTCATAAAGCCTTTTTTCCCTTGCCTCTTATTCCGGAGATAGTGCATAACCTCATGGCTGATAAGAACATTATCAACTATTTATCATTCACGCACAAATCCGTTTTGCTCTGGTGAGATAATCTGGGGTAATGGTGCGGCTGGTCCAGACCGGACCATATATGCGGTTTACGGTCCTGACCGAGAGGTTAGAGTATAGTGTCAAGAACCAGTTGATCCCAATAACTCGAGTTATTTGGGAGAGGTTCAATCGTGGATCATATACCAGACACTAACACGCCCCCTCAAACGAAAGCCATTCACAAGGGCTTGAAGTTTGCACAGGTCTGAAGACAAGAATACCATGGGCTAAACAAATGGGGGTCGTGGGGATTCGAACACAAGACCTCTCGGTCACATAAGGCTCTGATACCATGTCAAGAACCAGTTGATCCCGATAACTCGAGTTATTGGGAGAGGTTCAATCGTGGATCATATACCACACACTAACATATAGACCATAGACCAAACCACAGACTATACGGTCCAGACCACGTCTATGCAGTCTGGTCTGGTACAGTTTGGTCCAGATAGAACACAATGAACAAAAAATGAACAGTTTAATTAGTCAACCGCACAAAAAATTGAACCAATAGCTAAGAAAAAAATGTTTGATTTCCTTAAAACATAAATCCCTACATACATGGATAATTTTGACACCATAGATCTCAGTAAATAATAAAGATACAAAGTCAAAGCATCCCAAATTGCACCACAACGTCATAAACATATACGTAATGTCATACGGAGACATGATCGTCTCTACTCTCTAGTGAAATGTGGTTGTGAATAAACAAGGGGACGAGATTCTCAAAATTAAGATTGAGACTTGGGTATCGTTGTGAGAGTGGGTTGCTAACACGTATTGAAAAGTCTGTTGGGTCTACGGTTTAGTCCGATAAATCACGATCTAGACCAGATCAAACCAAGAAATCAAAACATCATATAATACAAATCATGAACCAGACCAGACCATACTTAACGATCTACGATCCGGATCAAACTATGCAATCCAATTTGGGCCATAATTTTCAAACGATTTGGTCTACTTTCCCATCACTAACTCGTACACGAGTATTTTGCAGCCAAATCTCACATTTAAATCACTCATACAGCAAATCAAAACAAAAACAAAAAATCGGTCATACAGACTACCCATATATGGTTAATACATAATACTAAGCCTTGAACGTAAGCATCGGGCCTCTTGTCTGATCCACTGGCCCGGCAAATCACAATGCGGCTGCCGGCTGGTCCTCATCAATTCCCAGGACCCAAATGGTTTTAACACACTTTAGCCCATTTCTTTTATATGGCGCTGCTGGTACAGTGGTACTGCTAGCCGCTAGGGCCCTAAGCCCTTTACATTACAGCTTCCATCAAATCAAACAGTTTCGATCCACAAGGTTAATTGCATGGTTGATCATTGAAATTATAAAAACATTCATTTTTTTCACTGGAAATATTTAAATTCATTGATGATCACTAATTATCGTAAAAACGTTCACGATTGGTCACTCTCCGTTAGTCGTCCTCCATCTCCGTTAACAGACTCTGTTAAGCGCTAACGTGGCGAACAGAATCGTCTAATCAACCCTATTTAACCCGAAAATAGTGAGACCCGAGCCGCCACGACGTCACTAAGACCTACCATGTCATCTGGACCAACCCAACCCTCTAACCAGATCTGACTTGTGAACCGACCCACACAAATTAAATCCCTAAATCTAAAATAGATCCACTTATCTCCTTCGATCATGTCTCCTTCCTCTCGACTTTCATCCTCTTCCAGTGACCAAACAAGAACGTTTTTTTTGTAATATCAGTGACCAATCATGCAATTAATCCCGATCCACAAAAACCTATTCTCCTGTTCTCTCTAAGCTTCTATTTCCGCACAGAAGAAGGAGAGAGTGTTTATGATCAAGTTATAGACACCCACGTTGCCACCATAAATATAGGGATGGCAATTTGAGCTTCTATTTCCGCACAGAAGAAGGAGAGAGTGTTTATGATCAAGTTATAGACACCCACGTTGCCACCATAAATATAGGGATGGCAATTTGAACCCGCCCTGACCCGCGATGGGCGGGTATTACCCGCCCTGACCCGGCCCGCCCCATTCTTGACCCGTTCTAGGTCAATTTCTTGTCCCATCCATTCATATATCTCCTATTTTAGTTTTTCTTCAACTAGTTAGATTTGATCTTTCAACTAAATAGACTCAGTTACCCATTATATTATCACTATTATTCATTCATAAAGTCTTTTCCCTTTCGTTTTATCATTAAAAGTAAAATTTAGTGCGTATTTTTCTCAAATAGCATTTAAGAGTGGATCGACCCGCCTCGCCCCGTACCTGCACTGGTATTACCCGCCCCGACCCATACTAGCGCGTGACAGGGCATGGGTATTGAGGTACCCGCCCCGACCCATTGCCATCACTACATAAATATACTGGATTCCTATTTAACGCCCTAATATTTTAAAATTTTCGCCCTAAATTAACAAAATAGACGAATTTACCCCTCCTCGCCCTAAACCCCTAAAACAGAATTCTCAGGGCGTTTCCTCTGCTCCGCTGCCCTGTCAATGTCATTCCCCTTGGATCCTTCCCCCGTCGCCGGCACTGCGCCCTGCAACTTCCTTCCGTCGAGAGTTGTCGCCACGACAATCTTCTCCTGCCATGTTGCCCTTTCGGCGACGTCAAGCCCCCCACTGCCTTCCGTTGCTCGCGTTCGAGGAAGGAAGAGGAAGAGGGCGGAATGGCGAGTCGTCGCCGCGAGGTTCTTCCGCTGCTCTGCTGCCCGGGGCGAGGACTTCCAGGCGAACGGCGGCGGCGGGGGACGATTAATCTCAGGGCGAAGGACGCGACAGGATGTCTTTCCTTCTTCGTCTTCGAGCGGACGGCCCGCGATCTCAATTACTCCCTGTAAAACTTTCAATCGCACTCCCCCACGAAAATGGAACACTATGTTGTATGCATCCCTTCCTTATTCTCCTTGATTCGCGTTGTTTCGAGCTTCTTCCCCGCCGCAGTGGAAATCCTCTCCAAATCCAAGGTTTCTGCGGTGCGAGAAAGGCTCTGATTCTCAAGACCTCAATTGCCCTTGTAAAATAGTCCTCAACAGCAGTTCCCAGCGGCGACATAAGTGAATTTTGGTTCCCATTCAATCGCGTTAATCGATTGCAGAATTTCATACATTTGAGTCTCGTTTTCACTTTGTTCCAGCGAACGGCGGCGATGGGAACGGCTGAACATAGCGAAATTAGGTTAGGGCGACGGCTGGGGGCAAAAACGACAACTTGCCTAAGTTAGGGCGACAAATTTAAAAATGTAGGGCGTTAATTAGTACCTCTCGATTAACGCCCTAAGCCCCAGCTCAACGCTGCATGATCCATAAGCCCACACAATATATTGAAAGTGAAACCAATCGATTTCCGCACGGAACAAGGAGAAGAGGAAAGGAAGGCACCCACGATTTCCTGCCTGCCATATATAGACCAATCAAACTTCTGCAGAACAGCAGAAGCCAGCGAGCTCTGTCACTTTCAATAGAAATGAGACAAATGATGGATAATTGAGAGCGCTACTGAACATACAAACCCCTTGGGGCCAAAACCACCAACTAGTTTCAACCCAAACTACTACATCTTCACAACCAGCCACAGCAGATGTAATGAGTCGAGGGCATCCTCCCCGTCTGGCGAATGTATTCTGCTTTCGCAGCTGTTCTCTCTGCATCTCTATTCTTCCTTGATTCAGCTGCAGCTCGTCTCTCCTCGGCTCTTTGCCTCGCCATCGCCACTTTCTTCACCATCTTAGCTTCTGCTTGAGCTTTCATTTGTTCCACTTTAGACTGACACATCATCCCACAGCACATGAGTTCAGAATGTATATGGTTTACTTGCTATCTACTAGAGCGAAATAGAGAAAATTACACTCGCCAACCTCAGTTCTGCGCATATCTGCTTCCAGCTTTGCTATCTGCTGGCTTTCCCATGCTTGGATTTGTATCTCTTCACGTTTATATCTGCCAAGAACGAGTACCAAACCAAATAAATACCATGATCATTGATCTAGGTAAGGTGCCTTAGTAATGGTGCGTCTCATGAGCATGCCAAAGTGGAGGTGAAGAAGAAATACACACCTTGCTGAGTGTTTACACTTCTCAGCTTCTTCCCAAGCAGCTGCACGCTTCTCGAACTCAATCTGCTCCACTGACTCCATATCGCGAGACTGTGCCATGTTCTTTTCCTCTTCTTCTGTACTCGCCCAAGCAGCAATGTTCATCTTGCCAAGCTTCACACCAAGGGCGACGATCTCCCTCCTTGTCTTCAGTTTCAGTTCTTCCTCGCTTAGTTCCCTCTTAGTACCATTCTGGCTAGCTGTGCACTTGTTGCTGCTGCCATCTTCATGCTCCACAGGTGTCGTTGTGGGGCCTCCTCTTCTTGGTGTAGACGGGATTGATGAAGTTGGGCTGCGAATGGGAGTTGTTGCACCAATAGGGGTGCTGGTCCTTGATGGTTCTTGACTCGCAATGGGTGTCATCTCTGTTCCCATGTCTCTCATACAAACTGATCTTATCACAGGCACCACTGCAATTTCAGAGAAGAAAGGTAAATATCCAACTGAGAAAGATAATATCCATCAGCAAATACAAACAATATCCAAGTACCAAACACACCCCAATGGCCCAATGAATCACATTCCCTAGTGTCATTAAGATGAGACAAGTAGCAAACAACTTTAAGAAAAACATTCCATCAGTAGCAAACTTCTTATCAAGTGGTCCATCCACTGTGTCCTACCTGCTTAGCAAGACCCTTGATTAAGAAAGCAACCAAAAACAACCCAAAATCGACTGTTTTGATTGATTCCCTCAATTCTCTGCATCATTTTGTGAAACACAAAAAACCAAATGTTCTTATTGTTTCACTGATGACCACTTATGAAACCAATTAAAGGACACAGAACTTTTACCTGTCCTATCTTCTGTCGAAGTGTTCATAGTTGATAGTGCCATAGGATCCACCTCCTTCAAATCCTTGCTCTGACCATACTGCTCCATCAACGTATTTGCTTGGCCGGAAATGGAAGGAGTTCCAGGAGCACCAAGGAAGGAGAATTTCTCCAACCCAAGCTGGGAAGCAGTCTGACAAAAATCTACACGCTTGGTGTCCACCATCCTACCACCACCAGTTGCTACCAGCTCAGGAGCAACCCGCCCCATGTGTGTAGTAATGGGCATCCGATTACTACCCTGGTTGTTGTGGAACCCATTCTTCCTTGGATAACCACCACCATGCTGCTGCACATTTTGCTTGTTCATGATCCATTTCTCTGCATCATTCCACTTGGACGACATGGGCCTCGACAATGATCTCACCAGCTGGCTTTGTGCCGCGGATCTCTCCTTATGGAACTCGAAGCTGGACGAGCTATCGTACCCTGGATTCTCGTCTTCCATGGCTCTCACGTTGTGGACTGCATTCGAGTTGACGCTTTCCGACCTCAAGAGCTGATGTATCTTGGCATGATCCAAATCGTGGGTGTTGTTTTCCTTGAGCGGATGATGGCGACTCGTGTCAGGGTCTAATGCAGCCTCGCTTGTAACTGTTGTAGATGTAACTCCTGATGAAGGCGCCTCAACTGGAATCACAAACAAAATGCGAATAGAGGTTTGGAACAATCTGAAGCAAAGGTTGTATTTTCAGACGGTTGGCCCTAAGAAGAGTTAAACAAACAGACCTTCATCGGCGAAATCTGGGTGGTCGTCGTCATCGTTGGAGTCTAAGAGACTGCTCTTGACGAATTCAGTGTCGGCAACTCTGCAAGGAGAAGTGCGAGAGGAGCTGCAATTAGATGAACCTTCTTTCTTCCTGCTGCTGCTGTGGTGAGCCCCCATTAGCTTCATCCTCAGTTTGCTCGGTGATATCACTCCACTCTGCGCCAGAAAAAAAAAGTAAGAAGGAAATGAGAAACTCAAACCAAAAACTAAAAAAGAAAACCCATTTCTACCAAAAAAAAAAACCCATTTCCTGTAGTTCATCCAACATTTCCACAAACCCAGAAACCGCAGCAGCGAAAAATCAAAATTATCGGAGAAAACAGAGCGCACACAAAAAGGAAACACAAAGAAGAAAAGGATAGAGAAAGGGATTGGAAAACTCAATCAACCATTGCAAACAATAATTGGGGAAAAGGAAAAAGGACAATGTGTTTAGTGAAGCACAAAAGACAACAAAAATCTCACCCCCCCAAAAAACAAAAAGAAGAGAGCAAAACTGAAGTCGAATGGTCAGGGTAAGGTATAGCGAAGGAATGAAGACGAAGAGTAGAAGAGCGAAACCCGGTATAAGTAAGAAGAAATGTAAGAGAGGGTAGTCGTCAGATAGTCAATAAAAAGAGAGAGAGAGAGGAGCTTAAGATGAAGAAGGCAGGGAAGGGATACCTGAACTTTGTGTATCCGCTCGTAATCCATTAGATCCTCTTCTTCTTCTCTCTCTCTCTCTCTCTCTCTCTCTCTCTTTCTGAGTTTTCCTTCCCGTGTATCCCGGCTAGCAGAAACAGTACCCTCTGCTTCTCTTCCCCTCAGCAGTGTCGTGAGGTGGGTTTCTGTATACACGAAGTTGGAAGAAGCTACAGAAGCATCTCTTCCTTTATTGCTCTCCTCTGGGATTCTCTGAAACAAATATTGGAGCAGTGAGAGATAGAGAAGATTGCTGCTATGCTTTGCTTTGCTGGTGTGTGAAATGGAGGAGGAAGAGCGGGGGCCACTCTCTCTCCGCCTGTTTCGCCGAAGAAGAAATGAATTGAAGACGACTGTGTGGACTGTCGAACAAGAACAAAATTTCCTTTCACGATCCCACACTTTCAGCCTCTTCTCTATTTAATTTATCTCGCAGAAATTATTAATGAGAAAAAATAGATAAATAACAAAACGTAATAGTGAGGCTAGAGGGCAGTAGCTCCTCACTCCGATCACGCCACGTCAAAAGGATGGTCCCCACCACCGCCACGGCGGGGCCCACTACTCGTCCGATCGGCGATTTTCTTTGACCGAAGAGAAGACCGTTCGTAGGAGAAGAAAGGACTAAATTGCTTACTAACCCCCCATCACTTCATCATCGCCATCCATGTTGGTCCCCGCCCGCCTTAATATTATAAAAAAAATTCCCTTTTTCTCAGTTCCCACTCTCCTGCCTTTCCCCATTTTTCCCTTCAATTTTTTTTCCTGTCATTGTTCCCTTTTGTGGGTTGTTGTGAGTTGTGACTTGTGAGAGTGAGTTTTTTTCTCCTAATTCACTTCCATGGTTTGTCAGTCTGTAGTGGTACAGCTTCTGATATAATTGAGTAGAGGTAAATTTCCTGATTTATGCAGGGTAGGTTTGGATGATGGGAGTTGCATGATGATGTAGCTTGGTCTAATTGTTTCAAATTGAAGTAATTGTGGTCAAAGAGTTTTGTTTGGCTATACAAAATAGGGATACATTAGTTGGGCCGAAACAATTTGAAATGGTTTTGTTTTGCATCAATTTGAATTTACAAATGAATGAAAAAAATAATTCGAAACGATGCAACAATTGTGAGATTAGCTAATTTCGAGACAGTTTAGGTCAGATTGTCTCGTTTCTAAAATCCATCATCCAAAAGATTCCTGATATCGTTTCAGTGCGACAGTTATTAAACGCCGGTCGGAATGTTAGCTTAGTAGCGTGAAATTGATGACTTCATCAATTCCACTCTGATAATGGTTGAACTATATAGTTCGCTTCAATGGATTACTGATTGTGGCGTGGTATTTGAACATAAATAACTCACATTTGAAAGTGGTATTTGTGTGTCATTTGATAAATTTGGGAACATAAAGTGTATTGTTTCGATGGAAAAAATTTGTGACTGCAAATTGTATTTTGTATCATATAAACTAAGATATTGCCAAACGATTTATCCTATCTCAAATAAATCACAATAAATTATTTGGATCATAATAATTTGTGAAAACGTCTAGTCCAAAATGGTTTCTGTAAATTATGTCCAAATCTTGCTAAGATAAAATAAAATAATATGAAAAAATAAGTGGTGAGGGAAGGAATCATTGTTGATAATAATGGAAAGTTGGGAGTTGCAGTGTTTAGACAGAGGCTGAGCAGTGTGGCCTATCAATCTAATATACACTGTTTGAGGCTTCTTGTGTCGATGAGCAATCGGTTCAGGCTTCAGAGTTTCCCCACATTTATCACCAGACGTAGTCACACAGTACGGCTGCAGGTTTTCCCCGCTACTTCAGCAGCAATTAGTACAATGCCATTTCGCCTTAACAGTATTCTTCTCGGTTTTTAGTTCAGCTAGCCCTCGTTCTATCATATGGTGAGTTTATTGTCCGACAGAGAATCGAATTCAAATCTACTCTCACTGGAGATTTTTTTTTTTTTTTATACACAAAAACCAACTTCTGTAAACAACCATCAATTTGAGCACTTTAACCAAGCTTTATTGGCTAAAATCGGGTGGTTTATCCTTAGTGAACACCAATCTCTTCCGGCCCAAATCTATAAAGGTAAATATTTTCCTACGGGGACCTTTCTCCAAGCCAAGGCACGGTCCCGGCCATCCTGGGGCTGACAGAGTATCCTTTAAGGGAGGCAGTTGCTTGAGAAGGGCCTCCGTTGCCAAATTGGTAATAGACAGTCGGCATCCCTCCTTTTCTCCAACTGGATCCCGAGATTGCAGCATGACCACCTGATATACAACCCCAGGTGCTCTCTGATGGGGGTGATCCTCGGGTGGCTGAAGTTATCAGGCAGGGTGAAGGGTGTTGGTGTGACACAAAGTTAGGGCAGTGGTTTGATCCCCCTACATGTCGGGCTATAAAGGCTATTCCTCTCCCACGTAACAATGTGGAGGATAGGTTAATCTCGCATGCCACTACTGATGGAGTTTTCTCGGTTAAATCCGCCTATCATTTAGCTGTTGAGATAGATAGGAAGAATGGATGTTGGTGGTCTACGATCAGCTGGATGGATAGAGCTAGTTGGATACGTCTGTGGGAGGCGGATATCCCCCCCCCCCCCCAAGTTGAAGGTAATCCTGTGGCAAATTTGTCATCGCATTCTACCTACTACGGAGGCCCTACTTGAGAAGAAACTGTCGATGCTGCCTCGGTGCCCAGTTTGTTGGGGGGAATCGGAAATGATCGAGCATTTATTTCTTGATTGTCCAGTGGCGAGAGCACTATGGGATTATACAGGATTGGAACATCTTGGGCAGGGGTTGCCTCGCCATACCTTCCCTTTCTTTCTTAAGAGATTACTCGCTTTAGTCCATCAGCCTCATGTTCTCCGGTTGGTGGTGATTGTCCTCTGGCGGATTTGGAAATCCAGGAACTGGATTGTCTTTGATGGCAAACAGTTTGGCTTCCTTGCCTTGATGCGTCAAATTCACCAACAATGTGAGGAATGGGGTGGTTTTCCGGTGGACCAGGTAGTTCCGTGTCCCCTGCCCACTTTTCCTCCTGTGAGCCCGGATGCGGGTCCAAACTTTATATGTTCGTGGGATGGAGCTATGCGAGCAGGTTCACATTCAGCCAGGAGTATGGCTCTTCACAACCCTCAAAGAGAGGTCCTGCAAGCCCATGTGACGCAGTTTAGGGACATAGAGGATCCAATGGTCGTGGAATTGCTCTCCCTTCGAGAGGCGCTCTATTGGTGTATAAATCATGGTCTTCAGAACGTCCGGTTTGAGGGGGATGCTATGGTCATCATCGAGAAGATAAATCGGGCGGATACCAGAGATAGTCAGTGTGGGGGTGTTTTGGAGAAGGTTGTGAATTGTTTTGCTTCTCACGAGGGGTTTAGTGTACGATTTGTAGGTCAGAATAGCAATAGGGTAGCCCCAGTGGCGGATCTAGGAATTCTAGGTAGGGGTGTCCTCTATAAAAAATTATATTAAATATTAGAATTAAATTAAATAATTATTAAATATGAAAATATCTAACTAATAAAGTTTCATTAAAAGTTCAGACGTGTTTCATCAAATGATAAAATGCATTCGGTGTTTATACTGCTCAACAAATATCTCTCGACATATCTTACTAGACTAAGATATCCCGTAATTGAGTTTAATCGTTAGGTTTTGAAAATAATTTGAGATAAGAATAATATTTTACTATTATATTTGGATCTAAAACACAATAACAAATGAGTTGTAGCGTAATTGAAAATATATTAACTAATAGTGGCAGTGTCCCAAATTTAAATCACATAAACTACTACTTAAATATTATTTATACCAATACTCAAACTACTACGGGAGATTGGATAATCATTTTCCCAAATTTTAAAGGTGTCCCACTACCACTTAAATATTTTTTTTCTCATACGCAAATTACTATCGTAGGTTGAATAATCGTGTTCCCAAATTTTAGGGGTGTCCCGGGACACCCCTAACCATGCATGTATCCGCCACTGGGTAGCCCATGTGGTGGCTAGAAAGGCCCTTTCTTTGTCTCCGGCTACTTGTCGTTCTTTTGATTTCCAGGCCTGGCTGTATTCCAGGATGCAACTATTCGTTTTGAATCAATATATGATTATCTTTTGTTAAAAAAAATGAAACAACGACAAAAAAAAGATGGAGATGATTTGAGGTTGATATTTCGAGTGTCGGCGTCAAAATCTCCAGAAAACGCGTACACAAAGTACTTTTGATAGATCACAATCACATTATAACATTCTTAACTTTCATTAGCATGGCGACAGTGGCGGACCCAAGATTGTTGAAGAGAGGTGTTGTAACACCTTAGGCAAATCCCACATCGACAAAGCACGAGAGAGATCCATGGTTCATAAGTAGGAAACCGGCGTTAACTGACAAAACGCGTTTTGGGGTGAAATGGAAGAGTTCTTGTGAGAACTACGAAGTTACACGTGCTCAGTGCGGAGCACAACAAGGATGGGTGACCTTATGGGAAGTCACCCTGAATTGCACCCCAAGTCGAAAACTATGCGGGTGTAGAGGCCCAAAGCGGACAGTATCTTGTCGGGAAAAGGTACGAGATGTTACAAGTGGTATCAGAGCCTCTCCGCGTCCCTCTTGAATGATGGTGGGGCAAACCTCAGCGAGGGTGTTGAGTCCCAAGGGGGTGTATGTAACACCTTAGGCAAATCCCACATCGACAAAGCACGGGAGAGATCCATGGTTCATAAGTAGGAAACCGCCCTTAACTGACAAGACGCGTTTTGGGATGTAATGGAGGAGTTCTTGTGAGAACTCCGAAGTTACACGTGCTCAGTGCATAGCACAACAAGGATGGGTGACTTTATGGGAAGTCACCCTGAATTGCACCCCAAGTCGAAAACCGTGCGGGTGTAGAGGTCCAAAGCGAACAGTATCTTGTCAGGAAAAGGTTCGGGATATTACAAGTTGGGTAAAATCTCCGTCGTAGGTCTTTTAGTTTATGCTTTTCGTTCAAATTATTATTTAGTTAATTTTCTAGTATACGTGATATGTGTGTGAGGCATCCCATTTTTTTTTCTTCCTTTTTTTAGCACTAATTTGTTGTATATTAACTAGATCAGGGTTCGGTATACTTGGATATGCATTATTTGTTTGCTAATAGACGGATTAGATTGATGGGCATGATTATTCTCTGTCCCGGACCCGGTTTGGGAAGCAGTGTTTTGAATTGGAACCTTTTCTCCATAATTAAAGCATATGGAATTGCTGACCGGCCGGCCAAGGGCCAACGCCGGGCCTCGGCGGTCAAATATGCTTTGCTGTCATTAGTTTCCGTGGAATGATCATCCTATTCATAAATACTAGTTATGGAAGGTACAATCAATCGATTTGACTGCTGA